GGAAATACTTTGACACAATAAAGGCAGTTTACAACAAACCCATAGCCAAACACCAACTTAAATGGAGAGAAACAGAATAATTCCACTGAAATCAGAAACAAGACAAAGCTGTCCACTCTTCCATACCTATTCATACAGTATTTGAAGTCTTAACTAGAGCTATAATAACTGAAGAAGATCAAGGGGACACAAATTGGAAGAGAACAAGTCAAAGTATCTTTATTTGCAGATGATACAATAGTATACTTATGTGACCCTAAATTTTTCACCATCTAGCTCCTATAGCTGACAAGTTCTTTCAGCAAAGTAGTAGGGTACGAAATTAACTCACAAATCAGTAGCCCTCATATAGACAAACGACAAAGGGATTGAGAAAGAAACCAGGGAAATAATATCCTTCACAATAGCCTCAAAAAATATAAAACATTTTGGGGTAACTCTACCCAAGCAAGTCAAAGACTCATGACACTGAAAGAAGGAATTAAAAATAGTAGAAAATAGAACCTTTTCCCATGCTCATGGATTGGTAGGATTAATCAGAAAAAATGGTCATCCTACTAACAGCAATATATAGCTCCAATGCAATCACCAATAAAATTCCAATGCAATTCTTTACAGATCTTGAAAGAACAATTTTCAGCTTCATGTAGAAACACAGAAAGTCCAGGACAGCTAAAAACAACCCTGAATAATAAAAGAACTGCTGGAACTATCACTATCCCCAACCTCAAGTTGTACTACAGAGCTGTAGTGATAAAAACAGCATGATTTAGCACAAAAACAGATCAATGGAATTGAATTGAAGACCCAGACATAAATCTATACATAATCTATGGTCACCTGATTTTTTTTTTAAATAAAGAAGTCAGAAATATATACTTGAAAAAAGCATCTTCAAAAAATTGACCTGATCACATTAGATGGCTGTATGTAAAAAAATCCAAATAGATCCATATTTATCACCCTGCACAAAACTCAACTCCAAAATTGATCAAAGACATCAACATAAAACCAGGTACACTGAACGTGATACAAGAGGAAGTGGGGAATAGTCTTGAACTCGTTGGCAAAAGAAAAGGCTTTTTGAGCAGAACATTGCTAGCAGAATTAATAAGTATGGTCTCATGAAACTGAGAAGCTTCTGCATGGCAAGGGACACCAACCTCAGGATGAAGCAGCAGTCTACAAAATGGGAAAAGATTTTATCAACTACACATCTGATCGAAACCTAATATCAAAAATATATAAAGAACTTAAACTTGATATTAAAAAAGAGCCTAATTAAAAATGGGGTACAAATCATCATGGAAAATTCTCAAAAGAGGAAATGCAAAATGGCTGACAAACAAAGATATGCTCAACATCTTTTGTCATAGGGGATATGTAAATTTCCCTTTGAGATTTCATCCTACACCTGTCAGAAGGACTAAGATCAATAAAACAAATGACAGCTTAAGCTGTTGAGCAAGTACAGAAAGGGGGAACACTCCTCCATTGCTGATGGGACTTAGAACTTGTATAAACACTATGGAAACCAGTGTGGATGTTCTTCAGAAGATCAGAACTGATCTACCTCAGGATTCGGCCATACTACTCTTGGGCATATATACCCAAGGGATGCTCCACCATGTTCACTGATGCTCTATTCATAAAAGCCAAACACTGGAAACAACAAACTACCACTCAATGGAAGAATGAATAAAGAAAATGTAGCACATTTGCACAATGGAGTATTACTCGGCTGTTAAAAAAAGTTAAATGGTGAAACTTGTTCGTAGATGGATGGGATTAGAAAAAAAAATTCTGACCGAGGTAACACAGACTCAGAAAGACAGATATACTACGTATTTGCTTATATGTGGATGTTAGCTGTTAAGTCAATAATAAACAAGCTACAGTTCATAGAACTGGAGGTTAGGTATAGAGTAAGGGACTGGGGGTAGGGATTGATCTTCCTAGGAGGGAAATAGAATAGATGGTTATGGATGGAAGGATGGGTGTTACTGGAAAGGGAGGACCAAGTAGGGATGGGGAGGGAAGACAGGAAAAAGGGAGGTAGTATGGGGGGAGAGAACTAAAATTAAGGACCATTTGAATGGCATTATGGAAGTCTAATATAGTAGTTTCCACACACACACACACACACACACACACACACACACACACACATATATGTGAAGGTGATCTAAAAGGAATCCCCAAATAATAGACAGAGCCCCAACTGGATATCTCTTATCACCAAATGAAACTTCCAATACCAGGGACAGGCCACATCTAATTGGGTTGTTGATCAAAGGGGTCCCATTAGAAACCCCAAACAACCCAGGCTATTGCCCAGGCTATAGGTTGGTATCCACAAACTGATGGCAAGGCTCTATTGAAGACAACACCTACACAACATTGAACATGGAGTAGTCCAGCAGATGCCCACCTAGAGCGACCACTCTAGGTAGATACCGTTCTACTATGGTTGGTTTCGATGGTACTCTGTGTGCTACCCTTTCCTTCCTGCTTGTGTCTCTGAAGACACCGCCTTCAGCACTTCAGGATGATGTGGGGTTTTGTTCTCAAGTCCACATGCTCAAATGGAGTGCCCTGCTGCTCATGACTACTGTTCCTGTCTTATTCTCAGTTCCTTTGATGTCATACATTCAAATTCAACTTCTTGCTATCCACGTCATCAAAATCACAGAGTCATTCTTTGAAGCAACTTGAGTACCTCCTTCTCTCTCTCTGTTAAGTACCCCCCTCTCTTCCATTCTTTCTGCCATAATTTTTAGTGACTCAAACACATGGCTATTAACTACTAGATCCAACATATTCAATGATTTTCCTTCCTTGCCCCCACAGTCACATGACTACAACAGTATCTAATGTGCAAGTCTACTTCTATTGTTACTTCCTTTCTTTTTAGTTCACAGTACCTTGATTCTGTCAGTTCTTGAAGACCATTGATCCAAGCGCTTTGTTCTTCCTTAGCTCTTTAAGGTTGGCAACTTCGCTCATAATGTGCAAGTTCAACAAACCTCTGTCTTTCAATTCTACTCCCTTAAAACTGCACCATTGGGTGAACTCCTTCTGTCACTTGTGCCAAGCAGGTGAATGTGATTGGAAGACACGATCACATATATTTGTCTTAGTTTATTAAAAATATTTTTTTTTGCAACAAGTTTTCATGCATTCCAAGCTAAGGATGTCTTTGAACTGATTCTCCTGCCTCCACTTCCAGTGTGCTAGGATTACAGGTGTGTCCCACCCTGCCCTGTTTATACATTACTGGGGAATGGACGGAGGGCCTTTTGCATGCTAGGCAAGTACTCTACCAGCCAAGTTATACTCCCAGTCCGTCCAGTAAGCAGCACCCCTCCATGGTGTCTGCATCAGCTCCTGCCTCCAGGTTCCTGTCATGACTTCCTTCAATAATGAACAGCAATGCTGAAGTATAAGCCAAATAAACCCCTTTCTCCCCATCTTGCATTTTGGTCATGGTGTTTCATTGCAGCAACAGAAACCCTAAGACAGATTGTATAAGAACTTTAAAATCTATTTATTTTCCTGTCTCTTCACTTGTCTCTGCTACAGTGTTTCATTTTGGTCATGGTGTTTCATTGCAGCAACAGAAACCCTAAGACAGATTGTATAAGAACTTTAAAATCTGTTTATTTTCCTGTCTCTTCACTTGTCTCTGCTACAGTGTTTCCTCCCCAGTGCGACTAGAATGTTTGAAAATCACAGTGACAAAATGTTCTGGAGTTGGCAATGGCTCTACAATTCTGTGACTATACTAAAACCCAGGGAGCTATATGTTCTGAAATGAGTGAATCCTGTGCTAGACGAATTGTATCTCAAGCAAAACATTATAAATCAAAGCTGTCTGCCTAGATTCCCCTTTCCCTGCCTCATTTCTTTTTTATCCAATTAGAGATAATATAAAAATAAAAGCAGCTATTTTTGCCCCTTGATTCATCTTCTCCTTGACCCTTGCCTGGCTTTTAAAATTCCTCCATCAGTGTTTCTGTCATCTTCTACCCAGGGCTTAGGGCAAGTCCTTGGTGTTTCATCCTTTCACATTCTATAAGGAAGCAGATGTCACTGACTCTCCATCTTCCCTGTTGTTCCATCATGCTGCTCACATCAGCACCATCTCCTTTCCTGCAGGCTGCTTGTCATGCTATAAGGTGGAACCCATTGTTTTCAATGCTATTTCTTTGTACCCAGTCAGAGACAAGGAGAGTTCTCAGTACCAGATTTCATAAGACCAGGCCCCACTTTAGTCTTCAGGCTCAACTTTCTGCCCCCCTGTTCCAAATCAAGGCAAGTTTTCTCAATCTCAGTTCTCTTTACTCCAGGTCTTTGGCCATGGTCGGTTGGTCGGTCTGTCTGTTTGTCTGTCTGTCTCTCTCTCTTTTCTTTCCTTTCTATTTATTTATTTATTTATTTTCAAGACAGAGTTTCTCTGTGGCTTTGGTGCCTGTCCTGGAACTAGCTCTTGCAGACCAGGTTGGTCTCAAACTCACAGACATCTGCCCGCCTCTGCCTCCTGAGTGCTGGAATTAAAGTCATGCACCAACACCTCCCGGCTGCCAAGTATTTTTCTAAGCAAATGTCATTGCTAATCAACTCATGATAGTTTAGTCTTCACCTTCCTTACCCTGCAAGGTTTCCCTCCCTACCTTGGGTTCCCCTGGTCTCAGCACCATCTCTTGCTCAAATGCAGTGAGTTCCTTGTTTACCAGTCAGCTTCTTCACTAGAGAGCTTCATGAGAGCAAGGCCATGCTTGTCTTGCTCACTCTAGCTATGGTACCCATTCCACATAACATTTTCAGAATATATCTGTTACTAGTCCAAGTCCACATGCATCCTTATCTTAAATCCTATGGCACTTGCAGCCTGTAGTATTTTATGTAACACATCACTCTGAACAGCCTTTCTCTCTCTGCACAGTAAACATCAGCAGGCAGAGGCTGACGTAGAAGCCCACCAAGGGTGGATTCTGTACCTGGTAAGTCTCGATGGGGCGATTTTCCATATTGAGATCCCAGACTTTCACGGTCAGATAGTCTCTGGTCATGATATACCTCCCACTGTGGCTGAACTTCACATCCGAAATGGAAGAGATAATTTCAGAGAAAAACGATCTGTTGCTTGGATCTTCTGGCTCTTCAAAAACTGTAGAAATAAAACAAAAGCAAAACATGATGAATACAACACAGGCTTGTGATCAGATTCTAAAGTTTGGGCCAGACAGAGCACTAACAGTGAAATCAGAGTTTCTATGGAGGGCGGGTGACTATAGAATATAAAGAAGTTGCCAACATGGTTAGCTCCCTGGAAACAGAAAAAGAAAAACAAAACAAAACAAACAACTGGTGAACTGAAAGATTACTGTATTTTCAAGGGGCTGGTGTGGGCCCTGTCTCACACTCTCCTCGCTGGGACACTGCCTGTCTGGAAACCCAAGATCTGGACCATGTTTTCCCCCCATGGATGTCATGTGCATGCTCATATGTGGAGACATCTTAGAATTCTCTTTTTAAATTTTCCTTTCATCTCTCCTCTTTTCTTCCCTGTCTCTTCTCTATTTCTTTTTTTCATGGTGCTAGTGATCAAACCCAAAGTCTTAGGTATGCTAGGCAAGGACCACTTAGCTATACCCCAAGACCATGGAGTCATTTCACAGGCTTAAACATTTTTCAGTTTTTTCTAAAACATGTAATCTATATTACTCTAAACTATAATGCAAAAGTTAGTGGTTTTATATATAATGATGTATTTATGAATCATACCACAATCTAAATTCAGATGTTTCTACCAATTCCCTCTCAAAAAAATCCCCTTTATTTCCCATTCCTATAATCCTAGGTAAATATTAATCCACTTTCTGGGTTCTTTATGGTAGTAATTTCACATCTTATGCAACCACAGATCATAGGGCATTTGTGCCAGACTTAACATAGCATACTCTTTTCAAGGTTCATTATGTTGTAGCATGTTCTTTCCTTGGCTAAATCCGTGCATGGAATTGCAGGATTCTGTTGACCCACTGAGAAGCTGATAAACATTCGAGCTGTTCCCATTGATACAATGGCACTGTGAATCTTCACATACAGTTTTTTTGTACAAGGTCGATGCGTGTTTTCATTTTTTCTTGGATTGCGATGTAGAAAAGCTCCAGACTGTCTTAGGTCTAAGGTCAGGTTGCCCTTTGTTTGGATGACATAAGTGCCTCTGGTGTCCTTCTATGTAAATCTAAAACTTGGAGTTTTAGATTCTCAGGATCTTTCTTGCTGGCGATTCTGTTTCTAGCCTATGATTTTTCCTCTCTTTTTCTTTGTTATTGTCACATGGATACAAACATATAATTAAATAAATGCAACCTCCTTGAGTCCATTCAGTGTCATTGCTGGAATAGGCCATCTCTGGACCATTACTTCACAACCATCTCTTTGGTTTAAAAGTCTCATTTCAATGCCACCACCACGTCAGCTTTGATGATCTTGACAGATGAGAGGAGGTGAAGGTTTGCTTGTGATGAGGAAGGAGCAGACTCAGACTCACGCATGGGTTTTACATTGCTCACTTCTGCCGACTTCCCTTCCACGGAGAAGCACAGCTGGCAGGCTCTTCCGTTTGGAGACAAGGTCGACTATTTCCCATAATGGGGACACAACTGGCAATTTCCATAGGGAGTGAGGCAGATGGCCACTTTGCTTTGGAGGTCTGCAGGCAACAGTTCTGCCTCTAGAGAGAAAAGGCTTACCGACTGAGATACAGCCAGCCATTTTTACTACACAGAAAGTTCAATAGTTTTTCTCAACGAGAGAATTGGCCCACAGTTTTCCCCCAGAGGGTAAGAACTCCCTAGGGCTGTCAGCATCAGCCTTTGTCCAGCTGAGAACAGTGAGAGAAATGATTTAAGATTTAGTTGGTGCCTACTGTACTTAATATGCTTAGTGTCCTCATTTCCAGACATGGGCTAGAGATTGGGAACTGAGACCATATTTACCATTGGAGGATTCAGAGGTGGGAAACAGTGATATGTTTTTTATACACCCTTTATGATTCCACAAATTATTGTTCCTCAGTGAACACTGCAGCCCCATGGTGCCTTGCACAGCCTGGCGGAGAATAAGTGTATTGTGGAATAATCTCATTGTATTCCGTGAAGCTGTGTCTTTGCCAAAGTGCCTACTGATTGGTTTAATGAAGAGCTAACTGGCCAATAGCTAGGCAGGAAAAGGTTAGGCAGGACTTCTGGGCAGAAAGAGAAGAGGAGGAACTGAGTCTAAGCACTGAGAAGATGCAAGGGGATATGCAGAGGAAGCAGGACATGCAGGAGGAGAGGTAAAAGCCACGAGCCTTGTGGTAACACACAGATTAATAGAAATGGGTTAAGTTATAGTTATAAGAGCTAGTTAGAAACAAGCCTAGCCTAAAGCCGAGTTTTCATAATTAATAAGAAGTCTCTGTGTCCTTATTAGGAACTAGTGGTCAATAAGTTTACTACATAAGTGAATGCAGAAGACATCATATCTGCTCTTAACTTTTACATTTTTTTTTTTTCTGAGACAGGGTTTCTCTGTGTTGCTTTGGAGCATGTCCTGGAACTAGCTTTTGTAGAGCAGGCTGGCCTTGAACTCACAGAGATCCACCTGACTCTGGCTCCCGAGTGCTGGGATTAAAGGCGTGCACCACTACCACCTGACTTTTACATATGACTCTTAAAAAAGATTCCTTATGTGTACTTTCTTCACAGATGTCTGAAAATAAGTATTCAAAGCCAACACTACACATGAGCCCCAAACTTATTTTGGGGGACTGGGGAAAGCTTAGTGACTAAAGTACATGCTGCACAAGAATGAGGACCCCTAGACCTGGATCCCCAACAACCATGTAAAAATCTGGAGGTGCAGTGCCCATATGAAACACTAGCCCTTGTTATGGGAGAGGCGTTTGGAAGATCCTGGGGCCTTGGGGCCTTGCTGGCAAGGTAGCTTAGCTGAAATGGTGAGCTTCAGATTTAGTGAGAAAACCTGTCTAAAACAATAAGAGAGAGGGAGAGAGGGGAGAGAGAGAAAGAGAGAGAGAGAGATAGAGAGAGGGGGGGGCAAGGTAGACCTATAATCCGAGATAGGTTGCTGTGAGTCAGAAGAGGCCAGCCTAAACTACACAGAGAGATCCAAGGCAGCCAGAGCTTCATAGCAACACTCCCTTTCAGAAATCAAGAAAGGGCTGGAAAAATGGCTCAGTGGGTGATGGCCCTTGCCACCAAACCTGAGGATCTGAGTTCAAACCTAGGAACACACATGGTGAATGGGAGAACTCATTCCTGTAAGTGGCCCTCTGACCCCAACATGTGTCCAGAGCACACATCTCATGTCTTCAATAACAAAAACCAAAGCAGCAAAAATAAAACCCTATTGATTCAGCTAGAAGACTCGAAAATACACAGCAACTTTACACAGAGAGAAACGATGAGACAAGGGGAACTGGAAGCGATCAAGAAACATTTAATGTTAGAAAACACTTTGGGCTCTGCAGGCTTCTGTCGCAATAATTCAACTCTGCCCCAAGAGTGCAAAAGTAGTGTATGTAAGAAGGGAAGAAATGAACACTAGGACCAGCTCAGGGACAACTAGCGTTCTGTGTCATACCAGGCTACGCTACCACCACGCACAGCACATGACCCTAAGTCGACAAGTACTGGGGACCCACGTGGCATCCAGAGCACAGAGGGTACAGAGTTAGCAGCTGGGTTGGATGAGTGAGCAGGAAGAGCCAGGTTCACTTGCTCTTTGTTTGTTTCCCATCTGCCTTTGCTCTCTTCTTTCTTGCACTTGAGATTCAACCTTCAGGGCCTTCATGAACCATCCAAGTGCCTGTGCTGTCTCCTTCTCAACTTACTGACAAACTTGGCTCAACTTCAAACTTGTATAGATTGTGGTTGTGTGTGTGTGTGGCACGGGTGTGCTCTTGTGGGTGGAGGACAGAGGTCAATGTCAGGTCTCTTTCTCTATCACTCACCACCTTATATATTGGAGACAGGGTCTCTCACAGAACCTAGTGCTTACTTATTTGGATACTGGCTCACAGACTGTCCAAAAAGCTCCAGGGATCCCCAGGGCTGGGATTACAGGCGTATGTCATTGTGATCAGCTTTTTGTGGGGTGCTAGAGATCAGAGTCAGGTCCTCATGTCTGTGCCTCAGTCACCTTCCCACCCCTCATATTGTTTATAGAAGTTGGTACGTGTTTTAGATCCACAAGGAGATTAGGAAGGTTCCAGTTCAGAGAACAGGCTTTGTGGAAAGTAAGTATTGGGGACAGCAACAGCACCCGTCATCTGCCCAGCACAGCATGGAGGTAGACTCAGCTCTGCTTCATAGCTGAGGAAACAGGACGGAGAGACTGGGCCCCACAGGACCCCATGGTCCCTGACTGCACACATTATAAGGGTTCACTAGCTCCGAGGGTGGAACCTCCTTGTGCAGGGGCCTCAGCTGGAATCTATGATCTAAAGAGAAGGGGAACGAGACCCTGTGCTCGGCTTAGCAAGGGCCTGTCAATCTAAAGCCGGCATTTGGGCTAGCATCCGCAGAGAAGTTCATTAACTGTGGGCCCGTTTGTCGTCCTTTCGTGAAGAATAGTCGTTTATTAGCTAAGCAGGTCTGGTCCCTTTTGCGAACTGCCATCCTGGAAGGATATTGATTGAGGGGGCTCTTTGAGCACATTCTCTCCAGCAGGCAGCAACCATAGGAGGCGGCTCCAGTCCAGACAAGATGATGAGTTGGCAGTGGGGGTCTCGACAGGAGCCTAATGAAGAAATCTGCTAACAGGCAGGCCTGGCTTTACAAGGGCTTGCATTGGTCTTTTACCCCCATTATACTCCTCTCCCTGCAAGGCGAGTGAGGGCCAGAGGCCCACGGGGGTCTTATCCTTGTCTCTGTATAACGGTACTTTCCTAAAGCCAGGGGTGCCGGGGCGCCAGGATCATGATTGCAGTGTCCTCAAGTCCTTGGAATCCTGCCACACAGCACAGGTTAGAGACTCGGGCTTCTCTGCACCACCCCCTTTCCCCACAGAAAGAGCTCTCTTTGCTCCCTCCTTTCCTGTCTCTGATAATTTGTTCCCAACAGGAAGCTTCTTGCAGCTGTTCCACAAGCAGCCCCA